TTACCCCGAACGCGGAAGCTGAGGTGCAAAGAGCACATGTGGCGCTGGCTCGTTGCTCAGTCGGAGTGAACGAATGAGCCTAACAGCTTGCTGTTCCTAAAAAACTATAACCAATATTTATCTGCTGCATTAACCTTCAGGGTATCCTCTTATACTCATAGGTTTTGTTTCTTACGCATCACGAGAGAGCTGCAAGTATTCATGCAAACAGAAAGCTTAGCTGGGGACATTTCCCACTCAACTATAAATACCACTTAAAAGTGTTTGCTTTGCATTGCCAGATGACAGCTGCACGGCACGGGGAAACTACTATATGCCAGTTGTGTGTGTGGACTCTAAGTATACGCCTGCTTAATATAATTGCAGCCCCAGCTGACTCCCACTTAGTCTGCTGTTGGGTTATTACCATTAATGAAGAATCAAGGTGGAGACGGTAAGACTCTCAAACACAAATCCACAGTGAAAGAAAGGTCATTAAAATGTGTCGAAGTGGCTTGAAGAAGTGGAAAACATTGCAGTAACTTGACGCTTTGTGTCTGTTCGAGCCCACACGCTGAAGCCGACTCTTCTCACAATGTAGATTACCAGCTTTTATGTGTTCAAGTTTGCTCTTTTGTCGCCGCAACATTACTCTAAGATGACGACATACGCCACGTCTCTCGTCCCTCCTTTGTCCCCAAGCCGGGCTTTGCAAAGGTTGCACTTCTGCTGTGGACATTAGCTAGGCCACGGGACGCGCTTCGGACCGCCACCTCTTTCCATTCTGGCTCCGTCAGCTGGTGGGATTTAGCTAAACACTCATTCAGCAAAAGTGAATGCGGTCCAGTCCAGGCTGTCAGTCCTCCACACCGGGGTGAAAGCAACAATCGCCTATTAGCCAAGGGCAAAAATGCACTGAGGTGGGAAGGAATTCCTGTTAATAAGAGGAAAAACGTAGCATAAGTATTTAAAATCTTTTAACTGCCAACATTTGTGAGAATTTGGATTAGTAACTAAATTCTCCTTGAAGGTGTGTCTAACTTTTATTTTTATTTTTTTATTTTTTTTTAAGATATTTGTGAAAATCATCTGCCAATCTGTTTCTCTGCCAGTAGCTCACTAAAGTTGATTGACAGCGCTTTCAGGGGCCTTAAGTGCATTTTCATTTGAGTCCTCCCCCCCGAAATCAACATATCGGCACAAGGTTCTTTATCATTCCCAAGTTAATTTATATGTGTGGCATAGCTATGATACGATAATTAGCATTAGCATCATTTGTAATTAGCTGCATCACACCAGTGCTATGGCTGTTGATTTTAACATTACAGGAGTAGCAATCTAAAGAAAAATGTATTATTTGGATTTCGAAATGCATAGTGGTGTTCAGGTGTGCCATAATATTTTAATTATTTGAAACTCAAAGACTAAATTTACAATAAACAAATAAATAAGTTTGATATCTTCCAAATATTTCCCCAACAGTGGGAGCAGCCAATGGCAGGAAGATATTAAGATATTAATCTATTTTTTGTGTGTATAGAAATCATTTCTCGCAGATAGTTTATATTATTCATTATTATTTTAAATATAGATTTTTTTTTCCCCCATTATGGTGCCTCCACACCACCAGGGAGGCCCACATACAAAGCAGCCGCTTAACTCTCAATACCTTGGGCCAGATCTGTTCCCTAACGATTTTTTACTTTAACAACTTTTCACAGTAATATTTTTTCCCTCATTATTCAGTTTGTATTAAATATCTTTTTCTCCTTATGAATGAATTCGAAATGAAGGTCAGATTTATCACGTTTCAGTTTGAGATGCTGCTGTTGCAATAAAGTATACTTTTACTTTAAGTCACCTTTTTCCCCCCACCAAAAGTGGCACTATACATAGCACTTACGAATGATTAATACTCAACAATGAAGGAGCAGCACTTAAGTAAATACATTTAATAAACCTGCGATACAAATATGTTGTTTACGGTTATTTAATTTCTCCTTAGTGAACTGGACTGACCGAAGTTTGCCATCTCTCTTCATTACACATTCACACTTAAGACTCCGGGTCCCCTTGGAAATCCACTCCAGGTTTTACCCGCTGCCTCTTTTTAAAAACCACCTCTAGTTTAGAGGAGTGAAAAACACACCAGCATTAGGGCAGCAGATGACCCGGCGCAGCAGCGAGGAGCACTCCAGTCCTCTCCCTGACAAACGAAAGGGATGGGGGGCATCAGCCGCAGCTGAGCTCCGAACGGCTGGACCAGGGGGAGCGAGGGGACACAGCAGCTTTCTGCCCCCACTTGGGTGACTTTTTGCTGGATTTCTTATCCCCCTACTCCTCTCCACAACACCATGCCATTTGCCAAAAGAGCCGTGAAGCCCCAGTTACTGTGCAGGTATCGAAGCCCAAGCGAGGTGGTGGAGCAGCAGCAGGAGGAGGGTCTGCTTTTCGAGGATCTGGTCTCCATCAGTAATGTGGCTCTGTCCCGGACCCTGCGGCAGCTGTCGGACCTGGCCAAACATGCCTGCTCCATTTTCCAGGAGCTGGAAAACGACCTGGCGTCCACCAACCAGCGGGTCAGGGGGCTCCAGGGGAAAATTACCCAACTCCAGCAGTGCTGCTCCGAGCTGGACCCCAGACAGGAGGCAGTGCGTGAGTATTGCGCTCCACACTCGCACACGGCGCGCGCGTCTTGCTTCTTTCTCTCAGGAGAGCCTGCACGAGGACGCAAGTTTTTCTTTTTCTTTTTTTTTAAAACAACTTTTAGACAAAACTTAAAGAACTTTACCTAACAAATATAGCTAACTGTAAAAAGATTCAGCTCGCTAAGCTATGTTTTTTTAATATACATATATACATTCGGAGACACGTTGTTTCCATTTTTAAAGTTAATTTTCGTTGTAGCAGTCTTCACGTTTGGTTCAGTGATAGGGGCGTATGACGCTGTTTTCATCTCATGTCAGCAGCTTTTTAAAACCAGCTATTACGCTGTTGTTTCTCTTCCAAAGAACGTCCTTCAGTAGCTCTGTCATTGTGACTTTATAACAAGCATGTGTCAGCTAACACTGCCAAATGACGCACTTCGCTCCGTGCGGGGAAGCGCTTCCACTGGTCCTCTGTTTTTCCCTCTAACTTCATCAGAACTCAGAGCCGGCCCAATAAAACACGGGGCCTTGAGAAGAGTTTGATTCTGCCCTCTTCACCCCCCTAATGTTTATGAACATAATTTTCCAGCTATATGCTTCAACTCTAAGCGTTAAAAAGTAAGGATGTTATGGTGCATTGATTTGTATTAAGAAGTGTGATTTTTGTTTTTTAGTTCTCAGTCAAAAAACAACAAAAACACTGGGGGGGAAAAAACCCTGGAAATGATAACATTATCCACAGGTTTTTCAGATTTAGCTAAAATGTTTTTGCAATGTTATTGCTGCATTTTTTTTAAATAAAATCAATTACAGAGGTCATCAAAAGACACAGACACATGCACAATTTCTTATTTAAATCAAGAAAACATGGTGTCAATCAGTGATGTTTGGAAATAGTGAATTGAAATGTAAAGGTCAAAAGGTCAGATCCCCTCCTCTAAATGCTCACACAATGACAAGTCAAAGAAATACAAGTCAGTCCATAAATACCAGTTTGTTTGGTCCGGCAGCCATTTCATTTGGTTATATTCACAAGCAGAACCGCAATTTAAATTTTCTATTTATAAAGTTTTGTGGTTCATTCTACGTAGCGCCAAGTAAAAGTTGAAGGTTTCCTGTGTGAGAAGTTGAGCGTTCTTTGGGGCTCCTCTGCTGACCTGGGATGCTAAACAGCAGCTTAGTTTGCTTATGTCTCAGGCTGGCTCCCCAAAGTCAAACTCTGTAGTGTTGTAGGAGTTTAATCCTCGCATAAATATATATATATTTTTTTCTTTCTTCCTGCTTCATACGGTGAAGTTTGATTGGCCGATTTGGCAGGAACTCATTACCCTGATAACATGGGAAGGCGGTTGGATATTTATAAAGGTGTGTGTGTGTGTGTGTGTGTGTGTGTGTGTGTGTGTGTGTGTGTGTGTGTGTGTGTGTGTGTGTGTGTGTGTGTGTGTGTGTGAGCGCGGTGTCCACAGCTTTGGCCACACCCCAGCGGATTTTAACCCACTTCACTTTAGGTTCAGCAAGTCCTTGCATGTTCCCCCAGACCCCTGCTTCCTGTGGTCTCTAAATGGGTAATTTTGCCTTGAGGTATTTATGTGTGGCATGGATAGCTTTCTACTGCGACCCCCCTCCCGCAACTTAAAAAAAAAAAAAAAAAAAAAAAAGCCTGACCCCTTTTAAAGCCAATTTAAACACACTGCTGTACGCAGTCTGCAGAGATTCTTTATTTCGACAGCGAGTTGCTGGTTTGTTTTGCTTGCATGCATAGTTGTGCTGTGATACGCAGGCCGCTAGCGTTTTTGTTCGGTCTTGCAGACTGTTTATGTCTGATTTCAGAGCTGTCAGTTGTTGTTTGTGAGTACTTTCCCTGTGAGGAAACTTGCAAAATTATTTCTAGAAGAGCATACATAAATATTATGCAACGTCAGGGTGTGGAAAGGTTAAGCCTCGAGTTTCTGAATGGATTTCTGGATGCGATAGTACTGTATCTCGTGTGCCGTGTTTTTTTCTTTCTTTCTTTCTTTCCTTCCTGTTAACCCCCTTTTGCTTTTAATTGCTCTTAATTATTCTTTTCCTTGTAATGGTGTCAGGCGCAGTCTTTAACAACAGAACCCCGGTCTCATCTGAATGACAATCGGTGTAAATGGAGCAGTCCAAGGCACGGAGGGGTGGGTGGGGTGGGACGTCCACAAGGTGAAATCTAGAGGAATGCACCGCTGAGGAGTTGTTTGTCACTCTGAAGGAGCAGGCAGATGTCAAACCTGCTGTTAAAGCCTTGGAGCTGCTCGTTGTCATAAACAACCTGCAGGTAACATGGAGTTAGCCTGGGAGTGCATCAGATAAACAGCATTTGAGGTGAAGTTAAATATAGCCGAAGGCCATGACGTAAAATCTACAGGCGGACGTCTTTTTTTTTTTTTTTTTCTTCCAAGATGTTGATTTATGTAGATGTTCACTTCTGCCTCACCGCTTCCGCTGGATGCACTGCACCTTTTCAAAGTAAAAGCAAAAGCCCTTTTGAGTCAGAACTTAACGAAACACTTTTTGCTGAAGCTACAGAGTCTTTTTGGACTGCATCTCTGCCAGCTCTGCTCGTCTAGAGTGTAAAGGTTTTGATAAAAGTGGTCAAGCTGAGTCAGATTGGCGAGAGGACATCTGTGAAGGTTATTATGTAAGTCTTGTCACGGATTCTCAGTTGCGTTTAGGTATGGACTTTGACTGGACCATTCTAAACATGACCATTCTTTGATCCAAAATATTCGATGCAGCTCAGATCAATGCTCCCCTTAACTGGCCCGTAAACGGTGTTGATAGGGTTGGAGTTGTGTCATACTGGGTGTGTTCAGGGTACATTTTGCTTTAATCAAACTCTAGTCCGTTTGTCTACAAAGTCTGTTTTGTTTGGGGAGATGTGGATGTGCAATTGACCTCTGATGAGGACCAAAACAAGCTAACTCTAAAATCCTAGGTTTAGGTTTGATTAAAGTGAACTCTGGAATGATTCGAATGCACATGTGGATGCGAGTGGAGTGGAGACCGCTCCAAAAGCAGGAAGCGAACTACAGTGCACGGCATTTTGGATAAATCCAGCCAAACAAACCAGTGTGTCTAGCGCTAAAGGGAGAAATGGCTCATAGTCTTTTACCAAAAACAAAAGAGAAATCCTACAGCTGCTAAAATCTGACACTACTCCATTTCTGTTTCCATTTTGTGAAGAAGCAGGTTGCTCTCAGTGTCTGCTTCTGAGGGTTTCTTCTTGTTCTTGGTGCATCGCCACCACAGGGGAGGAGGGGAACAGGTCTGACACAGACCAATGTGAACAGCACCCGCTGAAAATGGAACAAATGTTGCAGTTCTGGTCCCAAATCGAACAGATTCTGCCGGACCATCAGGTGTGAAAACACCCACAGTTTCCATTTCTTTCTTGACTGATGTTCTCTAACAAACCTCTGTCTGAGTCCTTCACAGACCGTTTTGATTTGAATAAATTACTCGCATGTTGACTCGGTTTACTAATAAAGTGACTGATGAAGACAATGGGTTTTTATGGGGGGGTTTCCACACTGTACTTGCTGCTAGTTTATCCCACAAAATCCATAAAATTTTCAAGAAACATGAAAGTTTGTGGTTGTAATGTGGCAAAATATGAGAACAAAGATAAGAAGTGCACTTTCAGAAATCCAAAAACAAAGTCTTTTCTTTTATCCTCTCTCTTTTTCCCTCACACACACCAAACCAGAACTAAACCCGGCGCCTGGCAAAATTCCCCCTCTCCCCCCCTCTCTGCCGTATGTTTGAACAGCTCTCCCATGACACCCCATCAACATCTTCCCTGGACTACCATCAGATCTCATCAGGCAGACTGTCCCACCTTGGAGTTTCTAGCCGGGTTTCAGGTTACCCCGGCTCAGTTTGGAAGAGTAGCCGTAATGCTGGCAGCCTTCTGGCTTCTCTGGTCGCGCAGCACATGGCTGGCACTTTGAGTGCATTCCTCATGGCAGACTGTGCCCCAGGAAAACAGTAGTTACGCAGCTCAAACTGAGTTAAACTCAACAGCAAACCGGAGAGCAATAATAATTCCTCATCCCTCTGGCGCGCTGTCAGATTCTGCACAGCCATTAAGTAAAGAAAAAAGAAGAAGCAGAGTCTAATCTTGTGATAAGAGATATCTGCGGCGAAACATAAACGATCCATAAAACTGTAACAGTCAGGATGACACTGAGCTGTTTCTATCTTTGCAGGATGAGTATAAATATGTCCTTGCTGTGTAATTTTTGGAGAGAATTCATGACCTCATGTTTAAGAATAGAGCACCAGAAACACACCTCCTCTTCTGTAAGAGTATTCTTCAGTGAACTCTTAAGAAAACCAGACCTTCTTGAAGAAATGTATATAAAAAATGAACCAAACGATTGAGAACGTTGTCCTGAAGTCACTTGGCAACACCTGTAGTTGCCTATTAATGTCATTCGGTGGTTTTCAACATGTAGAATCAATGATTTACTCATGTGGGGGCCGGGAGCAGGAAGTTTCTCACTCCATTACTTGAAGGTATTTCAGGGCATCCCTTTGCACTGTTTTCCATCCACCAGATCAGCTCATGAAAAATGACTGAACCTCGTTAAATAATGCGCTGCAGTTACTCTCTACCCCATCATTAGCAGCTCTGTGAGCTTCAGCGCCCTGGAACTCAGAGTTTCCCGGTGTGGACGGCGGTAGCTCTGCTTGCTCTCCGCTCCACAGGAAAGCATGCTGACTCTGCCTTCTGAATTTGATTGACCCAGTCCGTCCATTACTGGGACTTTGATGTGCTAAGTGAGGCCGCATCAACGAGTCAATGCGCATTTTATCTGAGGCCAGTGTCAGTCAATGCTGGAGTCATCGTAGAGCTACGGTTAATGTATGTTGTCAGTGAGCGAAATTAAATTCACATTTAACGGCGTCATATCGGTTAGTAAATAAAAGTCAAACGATCTGTACATCTTTGTTGTTAAAAGACACCCATAAGTATAT